TATTGGAAAAAAAAGGACAGCATGTGTTCCCAGCAATGATGATGGGTACATAGCTTTTTTAGTATCCGCTTTGATTATTTCTATATAATTTTTTACATATGTCTGTTTCTGTTTTCGCAAAGCCTTCCTACGAAGGCTAGTCTTTAGCATTTGGGTTATTGACCACTTCATGTGCAGTTTCATGCGCAGTCGATTCCAGATGTTTCCCGTATACTCCAAGAAAGCGCAAGCGGTTTACAGAGCATCGGCGTTCTGTTTATTTTTTTATCAATTTACTGCAAAAAAACTTCAAAGCACCTCTAAGCTTTAAAAGAATACTTTAATGGTGAGGGCAAGAGTTGAATTACGAGTAATTCCAAGTAATTTTCTTTCAAAATGATAATAAAGTGGAAGCAAAGAAGAAAACATGGAAAATTAAGATTGCGAAAACTAGCATAATCTTGAGGAGAAACAGCCTCGCACAGATGACTAGAGATCAAGAGACAGTGAGGATGAATAGGTTGAACTTACATAGACTGAGATGAACATTCACAAGATATAGCACTGGGTGAACAGGTATCTCAACAAAATAAAAACTAGAAAACAAAAAAAAACAGAAAAGACTTAATCAACAGCTCTCTAACACTTCGTGCCTCATAAAAGCTTTCAAAAGTTCAATGCCTGGTGCCCTATCTCGACTTCGCATTGCTAACAGCAGCAAGAGTAAAAGTAATACAAATCTTACGATATGTACAAGTTTTGGTGTAAGTTTTTTTCACCAATTATTACTTTGAACAAAAACATTTTTTATATACCATTTTCGGTTGCGTTAGTTCTGCAGACTGTATGTTGGAAACAAAGAGTCAATGAAGAGGCAGAATAAAATCGGTCTAAGAACTTTACGTTTTGCACACTGGTCTGGACGGGTTTTCTGTTTTAATTCTTACCAAGCATTTGTAAATACAGACTCTTTTGCGACAAATCTGTGAAAGAACTCCGAAAATATTGATCTAAATTGGTAGCGTTTGAGTTTTCTCAGCATTATATTATGCTACAGTAAATCGAAAGTTCTCTTTTATATCTCGGAAGATACCTGCGCCAAATTGGATGTTTTTTACCGCATGATTTACAGGGTCTGCCTTAAAGCTTACCGCAGTGGCCGTAGTGTGTTCTTTGCTAAAGCAAAGTTGATTAAGGATTAGGATACAGTATATTTGGAAATAAAGTTATTCCTTTTTTAGCAACAAGCTTCTGAAAGGGATGTTAACGCAAGCTCTCATTGTTATTGGGTAGTAATTGGCTATGTGGTCAGGGCATTTGCCTGTGTGGACTTGTGTCCCCATTGCTAAGATAAGGCTGCTCGGAGTACACGCCTGTCGTGAAGGAGTGGTTAAAAATAGCAGCTAGAGGTGCGCTTGCAGGTTTAATCGTATCCTGCCATATTTAATCTGGTATTATTTCACGTCGCATGACCTGGTATTACGACGGCAATAGTTTCAGCATCAGTAATTTCACGAAGAAATAAAGTGTCTTCGTGAACACGAGGGAATGTTAACTTACATTTTAGTTTACATAGGTTGCCGGCTTATTTTATATACAGGGTTGCGAAATGATCCTTACATGGCTGTCTAGTTCCATTTCATTACAACATAGAATACTTAAATTTGGTGAGACAGGTTGTTCTGGCTCCAGATGTACAACTGCCTTTGTAATACGCCAAATTTCCTTCGTGTTAATGTGAGATTTCATGATAAGGTTTCTGTAATACGCCTTTTTTATTTTTGTCATGAACGACTATGGCAGATTGCACGTGTTTCTAAGCAATTCTTAGAAGTGCTAAGGAGTCTAACGCACTGGAGCTGTTTTCCTCATCGCAAAACAGCTCCAGTGATTTAGACTCCACAAAAGCGCTACTGACATTCGTACGGGCCACAGGCTTAAACGAAACGTTGAAAATAGTGCAGTGCGTGTAAGTGACTGTATGTGTTATGTGACTGGTATGCATGTATGTAACAGTAGGTGTTGTGTGTTTATCATTGTATAGATCATATTCATCAGCCGGCACCTCGAGTAGCCTGTCAGGTGAAAAACCAGGCAAACCTCTCACGCTCTCCTACAAAAAAATCTCTCTCTCTCCCATAAAAACCATTATCTGTATTTTACCTTATTTTGATAACTATCTTTGCCATTTTGCTAACTTCACATATGCCAAATTTGATATTACGCTATGTGAATGGACGACTGGTACAAATTCCAGGCGCAAACATGACATGTAAGTCGTGTAAGGCTTAATTTACGCCCGCCTCGTAACGTTGGGCTGATTTTAATGCGACAATTTAAGCTTCGTCATTTGTTGTTCGCCTAACTATGATTCCCACTGTATGTTGAATCTACCATTGTTTTATATGTTTCAGTCCATGATACATTTTACCCAAGACTTCCAGCTAATGTATATTTTGGCTAGAATATAAATATGAACATTATTAATACTGATATTACTGTAGAAAAGTTTGATTCCCTGCTGAAATTCAAACATTGTGTAGCGTATACAAAGACGAAAATGTATTAGTACTGAAAACATCACATCTTGACAAATGCTCAGTGTGGTTTCTGAAAACACCTTTGAACAAAATCTTTGCTTTTGGAAATAAAATATTACTTCTTAAAATATTGAATGAAATCAAATATATTTGGTATATTTGTTGATTTTGCACAATCATTCGACCGACTTGATCACACTTTATTAATTAAAGAAGTTGACTGTGATGGTTTTTGTGGGCATTTGAAATATTTACTGAAATCCTATTTCGAAAATCCAAGGCAGGCAGTCAACATTAATGGCTTCACATTACAGATATAGAAAGATAAATGCGGAGTCTCTCAAGCAAGTATATTGCATTGTTTGCCGTACCAGATAGAAAAAAAAGCGAGAAGTGCGAAAAAAAGATCTCTAAGCCGCTTGGTTGGGCAGAGCACGCCATCCTAGACTTGTACAAATAAACTGTGGACGTAACAAAATGGTAACAATAATGTCCAACTTTCTGTTTGGACTACACTTTTTTCTTGTTTGTAATTATAGTTTAGTACTTCTAATCTCTCAAAATTTTATATAATGAATTCTTCGCCTATTTACCTGAGTGGATATGAGGCAGGGTAGAGCTATATTACACATCATTATCTTGTCCAACAACGGATTCATCTATGACTTGGTCAATTTCCTGCATTTGGTATCAGCCATGCGATGAGGAGAAGAGGAAGAAGAAGAGCAAGCAGAGACCGGCGGCCGGTGCTCTGCCTCCGTTAAGCTCACTTCAGCGTCGTTCAACACACGTCTATCCGCGGCAGCACAGTGATGAAATAAAGAAATTGACTTTGACGGTTTTTGTGGGCATTTGAAATATTTACTGAAATCCTATTTCGAGAATCCAAGGCAGGCAGTCAACAATCATGGCTTCACAATAGAGATATAGAAAGATAAATGCGGAGTCCCTCAAGCGAGTATATTACAATGTGTGCCGTAACAGATAGAAGAAAAAGAAGCGAGAAGTGCGAAAAAAAGATCTCTAAGCCGCTTGGTTGGGCAGAGCACGCCATCCTAGACTTGTACAATAAACTGTGGACATAACAGAATGGTAACAATAATATCCAACTTTCTGTTTGAACTACAATTTTTCTTGTTTGTTATTATTATTTAGTACTTGTAATATTTCAAAAGTTTATATAATGAATTCTTCGCCTATTTACTCGAGAGCATATGAGCCAGGCTAGAGGTATAATCCATATCATCAGCATGTCCAACAATGGATTCTTCTATGACTTGGCCTGCATTTGGTATCAGCCATGCAATGAGGAGAAGAGGAAGAAGAATTGCAAGCAGAGACAGGCGACCGGTGCTCTGCCTCCGGTAAGCTCACTTCAGCGTCTTTCAACCCACGTCCTCTCGCTGCAGCACAGCGTCGTGTATAAAACCCTAGATCGGCGCCATAGACCGCCAGCAAGGCGACGTCGGAGAATCCTTTGGCAGATCCGTCCTAAAGTTTCCGAAACCGAGGCCACCGGAACCGAAATCTCCGGACGATGCTTCGGAGGTCGCTTATCGCATGCCCACCTCGATTCCTCAGCGAAGGCGCCTCTTCCCGGCTGCCGCTCAGGAAGAGTCCGACCTGACCCGCGTAATGGCTTCATGGTGCTGGGGCAGTGCAACCGCGCTCAACATTGGAGCGTTTTCAAGGACCCCAGAAAGGTGTTGCCTCCGAAGTCATTCAAGGAGTTCGCCGACCGTCTACCATCGAACCTGGACGCCTTTCGCTTCAACTACTCCACCTTGCTTTTCAAGTCACTGACGACTGGACGCTGGTGCTGGCAAATCGTGGTGGTGTTGCTGGTCTGTGCCACGTTCAAGCTTCACAATAAACGCTCGGCGGCAAGAACCACAAGCTGCTGGTCGCCACGGCGGTGACATTGCCACTCCTGTACATTGCGGACACATGGACCGGGGTCACGTGGTCCTTCGGAGTCACTACGGCCATTGGTTTCGTCCGAGGTTCTCTGAGCGCCGGGCCTGGAGCCTTCCTCGAGGACTGTGGACGCCAAAATACTATGCCCTCTGCGTCTTAAATTTTGATTAGTGTAATAATAAAAACATCATCTTTGCAATTAACATATGGCTACAATATGAGCATGTTGTTCTCCGGGAATCATTTAGATGCCCTAATGGATACCGCAAATCACGCGTTAGAGAAACTATGTGAATCAAGTGTGTTGTGTTGTTATCGGTATTACGGCGCGTGAAAGGCATCGCCGGTGAACAGTGTTAGTGACGTCACCATGTTGTACTTGCGCGAGTGGCTGGTGGGCGTATATATTCTGGCTCTTGTTCTGTCGCTGTGTGAATTGTTGCTTTGTGCAGCAAGCATGCAGTGCCGTAAATAAAGGTATTATGTAAGGCCTTGGTCTTTCTCTTCCGGTGGATGCAACAAAGTGGGGACGAGGATGGGATTGCACAAGAACTGAAGACGGCAATGGCTCTCAGCAAGCTACCGGAATTCGCTCCCGGCAGCGGCAGCTTCGACGTGTTCGTCGAAAGATTCGAGCTCTACACCACAGTCAATGAGATCGTCGAGGCCAAGAAACTACATCTGTTCTTGAGCGCCATCAGAGAAGAAGCATACGTGACGCTCCGAAGTCTGCTACTACCTAAGACACCGAGCACGTCGTCATACCCAGAAGTCGTGTCGGCGCTGAAGAAGCACTATTCTCCGAGGCGGTCAGTGGTGAGTGAAAGATACCATTTCAACCAAAGGAAGCAAGCCTCTCAAGAAACTGTCACAGAATTTGTGGCGCAGCTGAAGAAATTGGCATCATTATGTGACTTCGGCGCCTTTTTGGAACAAGCGCTTCGTGACCGCCTGATAGCAGGCCTGCATTCCGAAGCCATACGTTGCCGGTTGCTGGCCATGAGCGACAGCGAGCTCACCTGGGACTGCGTCTGCAACACCGCTACGGCCATGGAGGCGGCAGCGAAAGACGCCGTGGAAATGGTCGCGGAAAACACCGCCGAACAGTCAGCCCGCTGCAGTGACATACATTGGCAGAGCCAATCAGCAGCGTTGCGTCGGAGTTCACAAAGTGGGGCATGCACCGGCCACGGCTCCGGCAATACAAAGACTTCGGTGACACGGACTAAGACTATCTGTCAGCGATGCGGTGGACAACACGCACCTGTAAGTTGTCCTTTTCTGAACAGCAGGTGTTATAAATGTCAAAAGAAGGGCCATATCGCGAAAATGTGTAAAAGCAGGGTTGTACATCAGCTAGAAGAGCAGCACTCGTCGGACACTGAACTGCTAACGCTTTGTCACACCGATAACCGTTCGGGCAACCGTGCCATTGCAATAAATGTAAGACTAAACGGCAAAGTGGTACCCATGGAACTAGACACGGGAGCGGCAGTTTCTATTATGTCCAAAGCAGAGTGCGCGAAGTATTTTCCTGGGGCAAATTTCAGGCAAACAGATGTCAGACTTGTTACATATAACGGTACACCCGTTGATACCAAAGGTGTCATTGACGTTGAAGTGCAATACCACGAGCAGTGCTTTCATTTGCCGCTAGTAATTGCCAAAGAGACGAAATGTGCAAGAATGCCTACGTTGTTTGGCCGTAACTGGATGAATAAAATCAAAATCCGATGGCATGAAGTTATGCAAGTGAAGGCACTGACAAAAAAAAAAACTCCCTTGACTGACAAATACCGCGAAGTGTTTGAGCCGGGTTACGGAGCGATAAGAGGGTTCAAGGCGAGCATTGTTGTTAAAGAAAACGCGTCACCTGTATTCTGTAAGGCGCGATCAGTGCCGTATGCGCTACGCGAACAAGTCGAGCAGGAATTGGCAAACTTGGAAAAAGCTGGAGTCATTTACCGGGTGCAGCACAGTGCGTGGGCGACACCTCTGGTGATCGTGCCCAAGAAAAATGGCAAGGAGCTTCGGCTATGTGGTGACTACCGTGTCACAGTAAATCCTGCCATTGAGGTAGACCAGTACCCGCTCCCTCTGCCAGAGGATATTTTTGCAACTTTACATGGTGGAACTGTCTTTTCGGTTCTGGACTTGTCCAAGGCGTACTTACAGCTCGAATTGGACGAGCGAGCACAAGAACTGCTCACTGTCAATACCCACCTGGGGCTGTTCAGGTTCCGGCGCTTGCCATACGGCGTAGCCTGTGCACCGGCGGTGTTCCAGGCCGTGATGGATCAGATCCTACACGGCCTCTCAGGAACGGCCTGTTACTTAGATGACGTTGTCATCGCAGGCGCAGATAGGAAGCAATGCCATGACAGGTTGGAGCAGGTGCTCATACGCCTAAGAGAACATGGCATACGGGTCAACACTGAGAAGTGTAAGCTGTTCCAAGAACGAATCAGATACCTGGGTCATGAAGTTGACCTGAATGGGTTGCATCCTACGGCGGATAAAGTAGCTGCCATCAAGCAGGCGCCAAAACCGGACAACGTGACTCAGCTCAAAGCCTTCTTGGGCTTGGTAAATTACTACTCAAACTTTTTGCCAAATCTGGCTACGGTTTTAGAGCCCCTGCATAACTTGTTACGTCGAGAAGCAGCATGGGATTGGTCACGCCAATGTGATGAGGCATTCAGAACCTGTAAGGAAATGCTTACTAACGAAAATGTGCTTGAGTTGTATGATGTCAACAAAGAAATACAGCTAACGTGTGACGCCTCCGAGTATGGTTTGGGAGCTGTTTTGTCGCATGTTGTGGGCGGCACAGAGAAGCCAATAGCATTTGCGTCGTGATCACTATCACATGCGGAGCGTAGTTACGGCCAAATAGAGAAAGAAGCTTTGAGTATTGTGTTTGGTCTGAAGCGATTTCATAACTACTTGTATGGTCGAACTTTTAAGGTTCTTACCGACCATCAACCTCTCACCGTGCTCTTCGACCCAAAAAGGAAAGCTAGTGCTGTAGCCACAGCTAGAGTACACCGATGGGCTGTTTTCCTAGCTAACTACAGCTATAAGATTGCACATAAGCCGGGCACGGCAATCAGTAACGCAGATGCTCTATCTAGACTGCCATTGCCCCAGACCTCTGAGCAAAATGAAGACATTTTTTATTTTGCCACTCTGGACGAACTACCGCTGACAGCAAAAGATATAGAGCGTGAAACAACGCGCGACAAGCTACTATCAGTAGTGCGCGACTTGATTTGGCACGGCTGGCCGAAAGCTGTCGCTCAAGAACTGCAACCATTCTGGGTGCGACGGTTCGAACGACGGTTCATGCTGGTTGCGTTGTTTGGACGAATAGGGTAGTTATTCCAAATTGTTTGCAGAGAGTTGTCATGAATCTGCTGCACGAACAACACATCGGAATCACAAAGATGAAAATGATTGCAAGGTCAATGGTTTGGTGGCCAGAAATTGATGATGCATTAGAAGAAACCGTGCGAAAATGCAGCGTTTGTCAAAGCGTACAAACAGCAGCACAGCTAGTGCCTTTGAGCCCGTGGAAATTGTGCGAACACCCATGGGAATGGGAGAATCTTGATTTCGCCGAGAAGGAAGGTATAATGTTCCTATTAGCAGTTGATGCTTACAGTAAGTGGCAAGAAGTTAAAGTATGTAGCACGACGACTGCTACTATGACAGTGACAGTGGTTCGGTCTTTGTTTGCCGCGCACGGACTTCCTTTAGAAGTAGTAACAGATAACGGGCCGCAATTTTGGGCTGATGAATTCCAAAGCTTTCTAAAGCGCAAGGTGTAAAGCACACGTTCACACCCCCGTACCAACAGCAGTCAAACGGGGTGGTGGAGCGGGCGGTACAAACAACTAAGACGGCCCTGTTGAAACAGTTGTTGGAGGACGAAGAAAAAGGCAGTGCAAGAACACTTCAGCACAGAATAGATAACATTCTGTTGTGCTATCGCACAACGCCGCATACCTTCACTGGAAAGACACCGGCTGAACTGTTTTTGAGAAGACAGTTGCGTACCAGGTTGTCTTTGGTGCGGCCGCATCTGACAAAGGCCATGACCGAGAAAGTAGAAAGGATGAAACAGTCAGCCGATAAGCGCAGAGCGAAGCCGCGATATTTTGGGGTTGGTGACCGTGTGTTGGTTCGTTCCTTGCGAGGAGAATCGGTGAAATGGCTGCCGGGAAAAGTTACGCCAGTGAAGTCTCCAACTACGTATTTGGTTGTTATTGGAAACCAAGTGCGTTTTGTACATGCTGATCATTTACGACATTCTGTGCTCGACGACCGAACCTCACGTCGTGAAATATGCCTGCCCCACTCCTCCGAGGTCGCCTCTCCTCCACTGCCTGTGGTGCAACCGGACCCTCAGGTTGAACAAAGGCCGCCGGACCCAGGGTTAACCGATAATAACAATGCAATTCCTCTGAGACGGAGCGACCAGGAAAGGCGGCCTCCTGAGCGTTGGTGTTACGACCGTTTTTGATCTAGTGATGAAGGAAGTGTTGTGTTGTTATCGGTATTACGGCACGTGAAAGGCATCGCCGATGAACAGTGTTATTGACGTCACCATGTCATCGTACTTGCGCGAGTGGCTGGTGGGCGTATACTGGCTCTTGTTCTGTTGCTGTGTGAATCGTTGCTTTGTGCAGCAAGCATGCAGTGCCGTAAATAAAGGTGTTCTGTAAGGCCTTGGTCTTTCTCTTCCGCTGGATGCAACAAAGTGGAAGAATTAGACTAAGTGTGAATGTTGAGCCAAACAAAAAAGTGACCTTTAATTCCACCCCGATAAAAATCTTTTTTATGTTTAGGAGTCTTGGTGTCCTGAAAACGAATCGACGCCCCGGAATGACCATGTTAGTCACACCATCTCCAAGCTATCTCATGTGAATTGTTGTCTTTTCTAAAGCATGCGCCATGATGTTAATATATAATTCGCTTTCTGAGTCTTGACCTGCCAATATTATTTGGGTCAAGATGCAGAAAAAATCAACTCAAAGGTAAGTTATGTACCCTGTACAAAATTCCTATGTTAGAAGATGTATCACACTCCGTTATCTCACTTTGTGGACATGCCAACTACGCGAAAGACGAAGACAGCAAGTTGTGGCAGGAAGAGAACGCAAGCCACAGTGAGCTACGTCAAGCCTCAACCATGCATTCGGCAAACATGACCAAATTAAGAAACACCTTTTTCGCGGCTCTGCAGTCTGTCAACGTGGGGATTTCTAGTTTCGTGAAGGTTCTTCACGTTTCCTAGTGGCAGCAGCTGAACAAAAGTAATTGGGCCTATTATTTGAGTAAGTATTGATTTTGCATGAGTACACGAGTGAACCCAGATCTCTGCAGGCCTGACTTATCTGACAAAACTGCATTGTCGCTAGAGTAATTGGCCAGGACCGCGCCCAAGCTGCTCCCGGAAAAATGTGTTTAATGAAAGGCTTGAATTCATGTTGGCTTGGTCAAACTCGATTTATCGAAAAAAAATGGCAAGAACCAAGCATTATGAATGGTATGTGTAGCTTGATATTTCGATGCAATAAGTTAGATGATAATAGAAAAGGTTAAAATATAAAACATAGAGTATGTGTACGTTAAATTAATAACATTTACTAATACAAATTATCCAAAACTTAGTTTTCTACAAAAATTGTTTAAATGAGATATCCAGGGTAGGAAAGGGTCTAGAGTCACGCCAACGCAAATATATATACGTTTAACTTGTCAGTGCGAGTTTCTTCAACGTACAAACCCCATGCTTTAGGAGTCGCTTTTTGCTTAGAGGCGAAAACAACCTACTTGATTTTTCGTATTTCGTGTTTTTTTTTTTTTAAACCATCGAGAAGTTACATTTCTTTATTGACGAGTGATTCGGCTACCTGAAGAGAGTGGCGAGCGCTAAGTAGAGCAGTGTCATCTTCATATAGGCTGCTTGTATTTGAATTGAAGATAGAGGTGATCATGAAACCTTCATTTCCAAGTTGCCATGTTTGTGGCACTTTTATTTCAATTTTTTTTGTTGCTTGAAATTTTTTTCAGGATCCATTGACAATAGCTGCAACAAATGTGAAAGTTGAATCTTGCACTTATACATTTGAGACAGTACTATAACGCGATATTGATACCACACTTGAGTGCTTCATTATTGAAAAAAAAGGACAGCATGTGTTCCCAGCAATGATGATGGGTACATAGCTTTTTTAGTATCCGCTTTGAATATTTCTATATAACTGTTTACATATGTCTGTTTCTGTTTTCGCAAAGCCTTCCTACGAAGCCTAGTCTTTAGCATTTGGGTTATTGACCACTTCATGTGCGGTTTCATGCGCAGTCGATTCCAGATGTTTCCCGTATACTCCAAGAAAGCGCAAGCGGTTTACAGAGCATCGGCGTTCTGTTTATTTTTTTATCAATTTACTGCAAAAAAACTTCAAAGCACCTCTAAGCTTTAAAAGAATACTTTAATGGTGAGGGCAAGAGTTGAAATACGAGTAATTCTAAGCAATTTTCTTTCAAAATGATAATAAAGTGGAAGCAAAGAAGAAAACATGGAAAATTAAGATTGCGAAAACTAGCATAATCTTGAGGAGAAACAGCCTCGCACAGATGACTAGAGATTAAGAGACAGTGAGGATGAATAGGTTGAACTTACATAGACTGAGATGAACATTCACAAGATATAGCACTGGGTGAACAGGTATCTCAACAAAATAAAAACTAGAAAACAAATAAAAAACAGAACAGACTTAATCAACAGCTCTCTAACACTTCGTGCCTCATGACAGCTTTCAAAAGTTCAATGCCTGGTGCCCTATGTCGACTTCGCATTGCTGACAACAGCAAGACTGGAAGTAATACAAATCTTATGATATGTACAAGTTGTGGTGTAAGTTTTTCTACCAAGTATTACTTTGAACAAAAACATCTTTTATATACCATTTTCGTTTGCGTTAGTTCGGCAGACTGTATGTTGAAAACAAAGAGTCAATGAAAAGGCAGAATAAAATCGGTCTAAGAACTTTACCTTTTGCACACTGGTCTGGACGGGTTTTCTGTTTTAATTCTTACCAAGCATTTGTAAATACAGACTCTTTTGCGCCAAAACTGTGAAAGAACTCCGAAAATAATGATCTAAATTGGTAGCGTTCGAGTTTTCTCAGCATTATATTATGCTACAGTAAATCGAAAGTTCTCTTTTATATCTCGGAAGATACTTGTGCCGAATTGGATGTTTTTTACCGCATGATTTACAGGGTCTGCCTTAAAGCTTACCGCAGTGGCCGTAGTGTGTTCTTTGCTAAGGCAAAGTTGATTAAGGATTAGGATACAGTATATTTGGAAATAAGGTAATCCTTTTTTAGCAACAAGGTTCTGAAAGGGATGTTAAAGCAAGCTCTCATTGTTATTGGGTAGTAATTGGCTATGTGGTCAGGGCATTTGCCTGTGTGGACTGGTGTCCCCATTGCTAAGATAAGGCTGCTCGGAGTACACGCCTGTCGTGAAGGAGTGGTTAAAAATAGCAGCTAGAGGTGCGCTCTCAGGTTTAATCGTATCCTGCCATATTTAATCTGGTATTATTTCACGTCGCATGACCTGGTATTACGACTGCAATAGTTTCAGCATTAGTAATTTCGCGAAAAAATAAAGTGTCTTCTTGAACACGAGGGAAGGTAAAGTTACATTTTAGGTTTACACAGGTTGCCGGCTTATTTTATATACATGTTGCGAAATGATCCTTACACGGCTGTTCTAGTTCCATTTCATTACAACATAGAATACTTAAATTTGGTGAGACAGGTTGTTGTGGCTCCAGATGTACA